ATCATTGCATCTACAAACAGATTTTTTTACATTTTACTTTTATTTGGATACCTTTTATTTTTTGTGTGTGATTGTTCTTGCTAGGATTTCCATCATTGTGTTCAGTAGGAGTTGTAAAAGTGAGCACAATCGTATTTCTGATCTTAGAGGAAACACTTCTACTCTTTCACCTTTGAGTATGATATTAGCTGTGGTCTTATCATATATGACCTTTACTATGTTAAGTAAAGGGATATGGAAGTGTTTTTATCATGAAAGAATTTTGGATTTTATCAAATGCTTTTTCTTCTTCTATTGAGATAATCATATGATTTTTACTTTTAATTCAGTTAATGTGGTGAATCACATTTATTGATTTACAAAAGTTTGAAAGAGTTGCCAGTCCTTAAATGTTTGTAGAATTCATCAGTGAAACCATCTGGTTTGGGATTTTTGTTTTGTTTTGTTTTTTGTTGGGAGTTATTACTGATTTGACAACCTTATTGTTTGGTTTGTCAGATTTTCTGTTTCTTTATGATTCAGTATTAACAGACTGTGTGTTTCTAGAAATGTATTTCTTCTAGTTTATCTATTCCATTGGTGTGTAATGGTTCATAGTAGTCTCTTCCTTTTTTGTATTTCTCTGGTATCAGTTGTAATGTCTCCTCCTGATTTCTGATTTTATTCTTCGGAGTCTTCTTTCTTTCTTAGTCTAGGTAAAGGTTTGTCAGTTTTGTCTGTTAACTTCTGTACTAGAAGTAATAGTGGTTTACGTACCACCTCTACATCATTAAAGTATTCTGATTTTGTCTATATATTTACCTGTATCAGCTAGCTTTATACTTACAAATGCTTTTGTATTGCTGTTCAGTGTCCTATTGTTTCAACTTTATGGAGTCCTTTTAGCATTTCCTTTAAGATATGTCTAATGATGATGAACTCCCTTAGCATTTGTTTATCTGAGAAAATATTTATTTGTCCATTATTTTTGAAGAATTGTTTTGCCAGATATAATATTCTTGGTTGGCAGGTTTTTTTCTTTCTCTCTCTCTCTTTCTCTCTCTCTTTCTTTCTTCATTTTGAATTATTTCACCCCACTGCTTTCTGGCCCGCAATATTTATTCTTAGTAATCTGTTGTTAGTCTTAACGATGCTTCTGTTGAATGTGACAAGTCGCTTTTGTCTTGTGGCTATCCAAATTCTCTCTTGTCTTTGATTTTCACAATTTGATTATAATATAGCTCACTGTATATTTCTTTTGTTCATCATAGCTAGTTTGTGTATTGGCCTTCTAGAATCTGGGTGTCACTTTTCTCCCCAGATATGGGAAGTATTTTCCATTATTTCTTCAAATAAGCTTCCTACCCACCTCCCTCTTTTTCTGTAATGTATTTATCGATCCACTGGTTGGTGTCCTATAAATCCCTTATTGTCTCTTCACTCTTCTTCAATTTTTTCCTTTTGTTCTTCTGATTAATATCAAATGAGCAAAAATTTTGTGGTATATTGTGTTCTTCAACCTGCCACATTTCAGTTGTTATTTCTAATGTGTTCTGTCTTTGTTGACAGTCTCATTTTGTTCATGCATCATTTTCTTGAGCTTGTGGAGGAGCATCTTTATCACTTTTTAATAAAATTCTGTGTTCAGACAAGTGATGTTGCTTCATTTCTATAGGATTAGTTCCAGAGGTTTATTTTGTTCATTGTTTGAACCATTTTTCCTGCTTCTTTGTTTCATGACTGTGTGTTGGGATCTATAAATTAGAAAAAAAAATAGCCATCTCTCTCAGTCTTTATGGAGCAGATTTACATAGGGCAAAACATTAGCGGTTATCTTGGCCAGAGACTTCTGGGGGCCTCTGAAGCTTTTTTCTTTTGGTGTATGCAACTTCTCTGGGCTTGTGTGTATAATTTCACAACTAGAAAAGCTTGTCAATTTCTTTTTCAGGAGCTGAGAATCTCTTGCTCTATTTGTTGTCTGTCTGTACATTGCAATTTTTCGGATTCAACAGGAGCAAGCTGGGATCATCCTCACTTTTCTCAGTGGCATCCAACGTTTGTGAGTTCCCCCTCAACAACCTGAGCCAGGGTAGGCAGATACCAATCCTTTGGGTAGTCCTCCGAAAAGCCAGAACACCAGATAAAGCTCCACTCCTCTCCCTTCCCCTTGAAGGAACAGTCTCAAGTTGTGCACCTTTTTTAGATTGTGCTAAGCCATGCTGGCCATAGCAAATCACTACTCCCACCCTCTTTTATTCTCAGAGGTCCCAGACATCCAGACTGTTCCAGTCTTATCAGCCCTCCAAGTGAGATAGGATAGAAAACATTTCCTGAATCAGCCCTGGGGTTCACTGGATGGATGCCTCATCGTTCTCTTCCCTATGATGGAGTAATCACACCTGGACGTTCTTTTCTAGCATTGAGTTGACCCAGCTTGGGGGAGGTACTGATGAAGGTAAAGTGAAATTGCACTTCTTATCAGTTTCATTGTATCTGTTTTCAGCTTTGTGCTCGCCTGTGGTACTGTGACTTCTTAAAGGATTCTAATCAGTGTTTCTGTGGAGGAATGAGGGCTGGAACCTCCTGTTTCACCATCTTTCTGATATCCCTCTCCACTGTACTTTTGATTTAAGTAGTCCTCCCTTACATTTATAGATGGGAATATGGGGTCTCTCTCTATATAATGAATTTTCTTTGATCATTTGGTTGCAACAAATTTATTTTACCTCCTACCAAAAGAGAAAACCCTTCCTCTAATGTAATTTCTTTACTGGAAATATAATTAACTTGATTTCAATGATGGGAATTTTAAAATTTATTAAAACATACTGTTCTAGCTATACAGGACAGTCAGTATCCCAGAAGTCTACATAGAGTAGCTTTGCTTAAATAAATTGATTTTCGATGATTATTGGAAATGGTGGACATCTAATTCTTTTTTCTTTCCTTTTTTTAAAAGAGCTCAGCTTTTTATTGAATGTGCTACTAAAGGTTTAGTCAGAAAGACCAGAGCCCATGTCATCATCAGACTCCTCCGATTCTTCTCTTTTCTCCCACTTTCTTCCCCTCAGCTGGGTCAGCAGTGGTAGAGGGGGCAGGACCTCCTGCTGGTGCAGCACCGGCTGCTGGGGCAGGTCTACCAGCCCCTATGTTGCAGATGGAAGCTCCCAATGTTAACATTGGCCAGAGTCTTTGCAAACAAGCTTTGTCAGAAAGGTTCCACATTTACACTGGCTGCTTTAATGAGGGCATTGATCTTATCCTCCATGACTGTCATGTCATCGTTGTGCAGAATGAGGGCCGAATAGATGCATGCGAGCTTGGAGACCTAGGCCGTGGCACCGGAGAGCTCTTAGGTGGGTGCTACCGGGTGCGGTGTTAGTCACCAGATGAAGTGAGGGCCTCACCCCAACGTACCCTTAGCTCCCTTGGAAGGACCAAGCACCTTGGCGACTGCTGAGGAAAGAGGGTAGACATTTAATTCCTTTTTTTTTTTT